ATCCTTAAAAGGTTTGATGGTTCTGTGTCTTTGCTGTTGCAAAAGCTTAAGTTACCTGATTTATATAAAAGAAGAAAATACTTCCGTTTACTTCATTTCTACAAAATTTTAAATAATCATTCCATTTGGCCACACATGAATCTAATTCAATTAAACACAAACAGACGATCTGAAAGGTTAAACCATTCTCAAGTTGTACATGTTAATGACAATCTACGGACGTACACGACGATGTACTCCTTCTTTCATCGTACGGCAATAGAGTGGAATGGGCTACCCGATGAAGTTGTGACTGCAGCATCAATTAGGTCATTTAAGCAAAAGCTAAAGAATTCCTTGGAAATATAAATTTACATCTACTTTTTTTCTTTCCCTTCTCTACCTCTCAGTTGGTTTTTTTCTTTTTTTCCTTTAGGGTAACAGTAATCGTAAGGGCTCTTCGCGCTTTTCTGTTATCCCTGTAACATTCTATTATTGTTTTCTTTGCTATCTTTTTGTTGTCAAATCAAATAAAATCAATTCTCGATTACGCAGTCTTCACAAAAGTGTTCTCACTCATTTCTTACTAGATTTTCAATTTCCAGTTAGGCATACAACTGTTAGCTCCAACATGCTATTGTCGCTAACTGTGAGACTATATGAGAAGTGTTCTTCGCTATTAATCCGTATGGTGATTATCATACTCCTTTTTCGTTCTTCTTCCATTAGTTATCTTTATTGCTGTCTATTGATCTCACGTTGTCGGCTTCGTGTCTTCAAATGTGTATGCCTCGTGTTTTTAAAAAAGAAAAAGATAGAGATCTATATCTTCCTTTTATCTTTTTTGTGTGATCTATTATTTTAAGCTATTTTGATTCTTTTCTTGTTTTGTCTTCAATAAAAACTTATACATGTGTAAGTCGTCGATCTCATACTTTGACTATTCACTGCTTTATATACTTCTATGTATTTTTCCCACGATATTTCAAACATTCATCATCAATATTGAGATCTACATATCTCAAAATCTAAAAGGGATCCTTTTCTAAAAGATAGATCAGTATATAGTACAACTCAATCACTCGGAATAGTGCAAAAAGTGGAAGACAGTCCTCTCTAGTTAATTTAAATTTAATTCGAGAAGTTGGCAGAATATACGCTAAACTCACAGTGAGCACTGTTTGTTTCGAACACAGAATAAATGAGCATAAGTATGAAAACAACGATATAAACAAAACGGTGTCTGATAACTACAGCTACTTTTCTAACATTCTTTCTGATCAGTATTCTAGCGATTACTTCTATAACTAAGATAACTGTACAGATTTAAACGCGCTATCTAATTAAGTTCGAAGCGAAACAGAAAAAACGAGTCTCTTTGTATGGTTAACATTACAAGATGAATGAGCGATGTCCATTAAAATATAAAATTTGTTTTTTTCTTATTTCATCGCATAGTCTACTCTCGTATACAGAAAAAATGAAAAGCGGTCACATCCAAAGAAGGAAAGACTGAAAACGATACGTTTCATCGGTATAATTCAACTATATTCTCTTTTTTGCGTTTCTGTGCTTTAAAATCGTCATTTGACATGATTTCTGTTATTTAACCAAGCAACAAAAGGGAACTATAGTAACTTGGAAACATTGGTTTTCTATCTATCGGCTTATTTGTAAAGCAAAAATAACTTTACATGTTATAGGTTTATGGAATTACAAAACAAGGCAGTTATTTTTTAAAACAGTTCTAAATTATATCACACCGTACTTACATCAACCTAGTAAACGGAATATAGGCTTAACAACCGAACGATTTTGAAACGCTCCTTTAGTTTTCAATCTAATTGATACATTTTTGCAGGCTTATACGAACTAATTAAGAGCTTATCAACAATATTGTATACTTGTACTCTACCGGAATAAAATTTATACACGATTTATATTCAGAAAATCTTACACATATAAAACCTCATTACTGGCAATTAATAGTACATATTTTCCTTATACTTAGCTGTGATATTGACAGGCGTTTATCTCAGAGAGTAAAATGTATCTTTCTCTAAAATATAGCTGGGTACAGAGTACAACTTGGGTACTTCAAACTGATAAAAAAGTCAGAGAGTGGTACATACTAGTTAATTTTATTTTAGTTTCTCAAATTGATGAAAGATAGAGTAATTTCATAGTAAGTGCAGTACACATCTACTGGAAAAGATTTCTTGACTGATGTCATTTTTCTTTCTTTCTCGATCTCTTTTTCCTTCTGTGTGCATATAGAAATAGATATAAGATGCCTTCTCTAGCTTGAAAGAAGATAGATGTGTTTGAAAAATGATGTGAGATAAATAGAAAAAAAAGGATCGTTTCTGGAATGAATGACGAGCCGGCAGTGGCGCCCGACTCAGAAATGGTTTTAGAACTTCATATGAGGGGAGACTTTTCCAGAAAGTTTCGAGGAAAATATAAGATGGCTTCTCAAGTCGCCAGCCGTATCGAGGCCTGAGAAAGTGTTTTGAAATGTACACTGGAATTTATTTTGTAGAGCGCGGTGTCATGTTTCAGAAAAAGTTCAGCGAATCCGTCGGATTCGCGCTAGTTGTTTAGGTCTTTCAGTAGAGGGTTTAGCGACGCTCGCGTCTACTTGTATTCATCATAGCTGAAACATTTATCTAAATTACTTGAATGACAACTAGCATTTAATTACTCAAAGAAAACTTGTATCTTGGTTTTGCGCCTAATTATAAGCGAATTTTGACTAAGTTTAATTGTGTCTAGGACATACACTAATTTATATTATCAATTTATAGGGTTATCAAAGGATTAATGGTCTTAGTGGAACTTTGGGCTCAATGCATGAAAGTCAAACATTAATCTATCTTTACAATGCAGATCTCGTCAAGATCCGAACTTTCAAACCTAAAGTCTTTTACGAACATGTTCCCGTCATTGCCACTAATACGACTGAATGGCTTCAAAGTTTATTCGATGAAGTATGTGATCAAGTTAATGCAAAACGTTCTGTATTAATTATTTGTGAATCTATTGCTCACGTGAGAATGGTCCAATCAGAACTTCAATCTCAATATCAATAACAAACTAAATCAACAGAAGAAATAAAAACATGTTTTGAAAGTATTACTATCTATGAAAGGGAATTCAATGAGTTGAAATGCGATGTGGGCTCTGAACTTCAATGCAGCAAATTGATTATTGGTACCAATTTGGCAGGACGAGGTACAGATATCAAACTTAGCTGTGAATTAGTTCATGCAAGAGCATTACACGTAATTACCGCGTGCTTACCGGCCAATTGTCGTATAGAAGAACAGGCATCTGGACGTGCAGCACGTTGCGAACAACCAGGATCTGCACAGATCATAGCTGTGCGTGCAACAGATGATGATACGCAACCATCAGTATTTCAACCGAAAATGTTCCGTGATAATCAAGAAGTGCATCGTTTAGCTTCTCTCAAATCATTTTACGATTTTCATACTGAAACTGAAGAGAAATGTCTGGAAAACTTTCGACATCATTGTAGTCAAGCATTTAGTGTTATTTATTCTTCGAAAAGTACCAATACTTCAGATGCATTGCCAACATCCACTCAAGTTCTTTACTTTGCCTTGTTGGACAAGTGGGCATTATGGTAAGATCGAAATGCACCTCTTACCAATCACTGTGCTAAAAATCATTCTCAAAAAGAAAAAGAAGCTATCATCGAATCTGTTAATGATTTTCTCGTAGAATATCCTATCGATGGTGATAAAAATTGTTATAAAATTGCCAAGAAATGGATTGATTTTCCTCAATCACTTATTACACCTGGAATTATTCAAATGAGTCATAACAATGGTTTTCAAGCAACTGAAGAGACGTTCAACCAAATTCTTGCTGATGGTTATGGATTTGCTGCGGGAGTTTATTATTCCAAAGCTTGTATGAGAATGTGTCAATGGACGAAAACACGAACTACATTGGATTCAATCGCAATCGTGTCAACAGAAAGTTTTCCGGAAAATATTGAATATGCTATCGAATATTTTCGCAAATCACGAGCATTATTTACAAATCGAGTTC